CTGTGCGACCAAACACACCGGGATTGGCTACGAATCTCGGGAGAGGCAAAAGGGGGAGGTCTATAAATTGGTGTACAATAGGATACTGTGGGTCCTTAGGCACGATTGTCGGATATCGAGGGTCTATGAATTAGGACGGACATGTGCAAGAGCAGAGTCTCAAAGTATCAGGGTAATCATATAGGTAATTTAAACTTCTATCCAATGACGATCGATGCCGCCGAGAACTGGCCGAAGACCGTGAAGGTCTGAACTTTTTGGGTATAACGTGCCGGTCTACTCCGTTGAGAAATCCACCCATGGGACTAATTTCTAAGGTTTATCGAATGAGAAATATAATCTGTCTGTATGTGTACGGAGTGAATATGAATTGACCTAGGGTTGAGGTGAGATCAGGTGCATCTGAGAGATATATACGGCGAACAGACCTCCGAGGAACAACAGATCCAACTCATCCCGACAATTACAGTTATCGCCTTTACGACTGGCTTGAAAGGTGTTCTCTCTTGGTATTAAACCTGACTTGAAACGTTCCCTTGCAACTTTTCCCTAGGGGAGAAGAAATAAGAGTACAGATTGGGACATATATCACATTCCACGATGCATGGTGACTGAATGCCGTGTTATCACCATACATACAGAAACCTCACGGATCTTGCTAATACTGCTAATACTACGAATTCTCTTGATCCTAATGCACAGGTGGGTGGTACGCGCGACTCATGATACAGTCGTCATGGCGCCTCCACCCCGATCGGGGTGTCAGTCTGTGCCTGGTCTCAGGATAGGCACCTAAATTTCGAAATTTTCCTTTTTTCCCCAGCCAATTTGCTCTTATAATTTCCCCGCCAAGTGTGAGTCAACATAAGTCCACATGTACGTGGATGTTGTAGGTTCCGAGTTTGCCACGATGTCTTCTAGCCGCGAGGCAAATCCATCACCGTTGGCCCCAGATCGTCAGCCGACCCTCTCGGCTCCGACGACACACGAGATTGGACGGAATTGCGCCAATCGTTCCTAGGCATCCGCATGGGGCTACGAATATCCTTTTTTTTGTTTATTGTGCGTTTCTACAAACCCGACAATCATCAGGGCTACAGGGCTTGGAAGAAGGGCATCCACATAAGCCTCCGCGTAAGTACGATCTCGTACAAGGTTGGGGAAGTCCACAAGCAAGGGACTCCAGGGCTGCTATATCGGAACTACAGCTCAATTATGCAGAGCATGGGACATAGAAGCATGCAATAAGAGGAAAATCCCGCAATGCGCACATATTATTGAAAACGCAGCGATCATCGAGGTCTCTCAGGAACATCAAATTAAGACCCCAGCCCCAGTGGGGGATGGATCTGACTGGATGACATAACTGCTGATATAATCCTCAATGCCTCAGGCAGCTACAAATTGTAGTAAGCCGCGTAGATAAAACAAAAACATGGGGAAACATCAAACATCGAATATTAAAAATACGATATTCCAAATTAAGAAAGATGGCCAATCTTGATTAAATCTAATTTGGTTTTATCCCCTTCCCAGACGAATGGGCTGAACTGAGTTTCAGGCATGTCGACATCGGGCCAAGTCCAGTCTCACGGGTTCCAAACATCCATTGATATCGCCCGTCGACAGGCGTATCACGTAGCGCCCGTGGCGGGACAGAAGCGAGCCCAAACAGAGCCCACAGAGCAGGTTCCCGATATCTCACCCGGTCCAGTCGTAAAGCAAGCTACTTTCCCTCACCAAAATGTCAATCCAGACACCATATTGGAATCAGCTCCGCTGGAGTCTGCTCGAGATCTGCTAACCGCCCCCGTCCATCGTTTTACCGCCAGCAAGATTCTTCTCGGCGCTTGCGCGGGCACGGAGCCATCCTCGGATGATCCCCAAAAGGCTGTGGCTGCATCGACTGCCCTACCTTCCAGTCAGAATCCCCTGCTCTCTCTGTCTAATCCAAAATATGGCCTGCCGCCCGCTCTCACGGGCAATTTTGCAGCACTCGGTGTTAGAAATATTTATCCGTGGCAAGCGTCGTGTCTACTGGCTAGGGGCTTGCTCTCCGGTGAACGTCATTTGGTTTACACGGCCCCGACGGGCGGTGGCAAGTCCCTTGTTGCCGATGTTCTGCTTTTGAAACGCATTATCGAAAACCCAGGGCGTAAAGCGCTGTTGGTTTTGCCTTATGTTGCTTTGGTTCAAGAGAAGCTTAAGTGGATGCGTCGCATTGTGCAAGATGTGGAAAAGAATATCCCGGATGATGATGAAGATGACTCCAACTTCCCTCGCAGGCGATGGAAGAAATTGCAGAAGAACATCAGAGTGACGGGCTTCTTTGGTGGAAGTCGGACGACGGCCACTTGGGCTGATACTGATATTGCCGTTTGTACGATAGAGAAGGTGTGCACGCTTGAGGTTCAGTGTTGACTGCAGGGTTCTGATATTTCTTTTCTTAGGCAAACTCGTTGATAAATAGTGCGATCGAAGAGTGTAACATTGGAGAGTTGGGAGTCGTGGTTCTCGACGAGTTACACATGCTCGATGACGAACACCGGGGATATCTCTTGGAATTGATGGTCACGAAGTTGCTGTTGTTACAACAGGACATCCAGATTGTTGGGATGAGTGCCACACTTTCTGTGAGTATGGCCTAATACTTCGGTGGACTGCTCTAACAGGACAACAGAACACCGAGATGCTGGCACAATGGATGAACGCCAAGTTCTTCATCTCCACATACAGACCAATTCCCATTGACGAATACTTGGTATACGAGAATGGAATCTACCCAGCTGCGACTTCAAGGCAATTGTTCCAAACAGCATCCAAGCTGACTGCAGCTGGATCTCTACATGATACCACCCCTCCCCACCGAATCATTGAACCTTCTACCTTCAAGCAGCTCAGCAACTCCGCCACAAATGCCATGGTAGCGCTAGCAGTCGAAACTGCAGCCGCTGGATTTGGATCATTGGTGTTTTGTGGTAGCCGTAACGCATGCCAGGTTCACGCTGCGACCATCGGTGAAGCGATGCCACCAGCGGAGCCGGAAGAGTTAAACAAGCGACTCGACCTTATCGCAGAGCTGCGGAGTCTCGCTTGTGGGTTGGACCCGGCTTTGGAGACAACAATCATCAAAGGGACAGGTTTTCACAGTTAGTATTCTGACATCCATGAAAGAACTTCCACCCTTACTAATGATTACTTAGATGCTGGCATGACCACCGAAGAGCGAGAGCTAATTGCACAGGCCTATGACCAGGGTGTGCTCAAAGTCCTCGTAGCCACATGCAGTCTGGCCGCTGGTGTGAACCTCCCGGCGAGACGAGTTATCATCAACGGTGCGCGCATGGGCCGTGAACTAGTGGGTCCAGCTATGCTGTAGGTGCTCCTTTTCGGAGCGAGGAGTATAAGCTGACAAAATAGTCGTCAAATGTGCGGTCGTGCTGGCCGTAAAGGCAAGGATGATGCAGGCGAAACCTATCTCATCTGCGTGAAAGCAGATTTACAGGCTGTCTGCGATCTGTTGGACGCTGATATGCCAGCTATTGAGAGCTGCCTGGCACCAGAGAAAAGAGGCCTCAAGAGGTATGTGTCTCTCGTCCAACTCTATTTTAGAGTTCATGAATTATTAGCTCACGTCCCAAAGGGCTTTACTCGAAGCCGTCGCGACGGGATTGGTATCCGGCTGCGAGGCAATCAAAGAATATGTTCGGTGCACGCTTCTTTACCGCACATTGGACAAGAAGATCACATACGCCATCATGAAATCCGGTCTCCAGGAATTGGTCGACGAAGAACTGCTTATTTTCCGAGATGAGGAATCGTACGAAGCCACACCATTAGGACAGGCAGTCGTGGCCTCGGCTTTTTCACCCGAAGACGGCCTATTCGTTCACGAAGAGTTGAGACGAGCATTACAGGCCTTCGTCATGGACGGTGACATGCACATCTTCTACATGTTCACACCGCTCCAATCAACTATGAACACTCCGATCGATTGGCAAATCTTCCGCGATCAACTAGACCGGCTAGACGAGAGCGGTCTTCGGGCTCTACAATTTGTCGGAGTCCAACCAGGTTTCGTCAACACGATGTACGGCTCCTTCCTCCTTACTCCATTCCCTGTACACGTATTATATTCACACCATCCCACACACCTCCCAGTCCAGCCAACCAAACTAACAGCCTATCTACCAGGGTCCAATCAGGCGCCTCCCTAAAAGAAACAACCCCAACCCAAATAAAACAAGCCCGCATCTACCGCCGCGCCTACACTGCCTTCCAACTCCGCGATCTCAGCAATGAAGTCCCCCTATCGACAATAGCCCAACGCTACAGAATCCCACGCGGTACAGTTCAAACCCTGGCCCAGCAGTGCCACGGCTTCGCCGCCGGCATCGTCAAGTTCTGCCAGCGCATGAACTGGGGCATGATGGCTGCCGTATTGGATCATATGCGTGATAGACTTGAGGCTGGCGCGCGCGGAGATCTACTGGAGATGGCCCAAGTTACGTTTGTTAAGAGTTGGACGGCGCGTTTGCTGAGGGATAATGGGTTTAGGAATTTGAGGGCTTTGGCAGAGGCTGAGCCGAAGGATTTGGTTCCTGTCCTTATGATGGTGGGTCTTTTGTTTGGTTTTTTCCGCATCTCTTCTTAGAGACCATATGTGTGACCGTCTACTAACATGTCTCTGGTGTGTTTAGGCCAATCCTCGCAAAGCGCAGAAAAGCCAGCTCTATCCGACAGAGGCGGAGAGGTATGCTGCGAAACTGTTGGCTAAGGCTGAGACGATTATTGCGCATGCGATCAAGATCTGGGGTATGTTGTACTTTATGAAGAATCTGCTTCAGAGATATACTGACTAGAATGATCCACTAGAGCGAGAGATGCAGATCGAGGTGGAGGAATGAATATCACGGGTTTTGGCATTTTTGCATAGATAGGAGCATTGTTTATGCATAGCTTCCATGTTTCGGCATGATATACCCCAATTCAATCTTCGCTTAGCGCCTATACCACATCCTCGTCACCTGCGTCCTCCGCATCTTCTTCTGAAGAAGAAAAATACCCTGCAAAAGGGCCTCTGCAGTTGGTGGACATCCAGGCACATAAATATCCACAGGCACGATACGGTCCACACCGCGTACAACATTGTAGCTGTAGTGGTAATATCCCCCGCCGTTGGCACAACTGCCCATGCTAATCACCCATTTAGGATCGGGCATCTGATCATATAGTTGTCTCACAGCCGGAGCCATCTTGTTGACTACTGTACCGGCCACAATCATGACATCTGCCTGTCGTGGCGAGGCACGGAAAATAATCCCCAGTCGATCTTGATCGTAACGTGGCATTGAGGTATGCATCATTTCAACTCCACAGCAGGCCAGTCCAAATGACAATGGCCAAAGGGATCCTTGTCTTCCCCAGTTCACTAATTGGTCTGCCTTTGCACTAGTAGCAGAAAATTGTTAGAACTAATCGGCTTGCGTGTTAGCAATTCAGTATCAGACATACAGAAGATACCCAGACGCTCCATCCTTTTCACTTTTGAATGGTACGGGTGTAGACGAAGAGCTGCTAGGTTCTGAAGATGTGCGTAGGTATCGCGTCGTTGCGATGGTGGGCAAGAGACACCGTGACCATTGCTTTGGATTGGAGCGACGGAGCAAGTTTCGAGAGGGTGTATTCAAAAGCATCATCGCCAGCTATCCTGGATATTTTGCTAGTTGAGAAATCAGTAAAAGATAGAATCACCTAACTTCCCTTCCCCCTTAGAGAACTTTTATAGTTATTTCCAGACTGCTAGTGTTGAGCATCCAATCAGAAGGCAGACAATAAAACGTCAGCCAATAAGATGCGCCCAAATTCGGCGACTTGATGGGTCCAAGGTGACCAACTTCGCCGAAATCAAGACGCCGAACTTACTACAACCAAACCATTGCTTCTCGCAATTATTAAATGCCGCGCAGCAATCCAGTTAAAGTCGCCTGTCGTCTATGTCATGAACGGCGGGTCAAATGTGACCGCAGTGAAGGCGTCGCGTGTTCCAACTGCCGGAACGCCCGGTGCCAATGTGAGCTGATTATATCTCGCCGTGGACGGTAGGATCCAACAGACCAAGCTATCATATTCAGACTAATTCGGATTTAGGAAACGAAAGCTTCCTCACCTACACACTGAAACAGACTCAAGCAGGGGTCTTTTAGAGACCTCTCACAATGTGCCGTATGAAGGAGTAACGAGTTCAAACCCACCTCTGGCCACTCATTCCCGAGACAATGGAGATAAGCCACAACAAGAGCCATGCTTCCCAGCTCTTGGACCAAGCGGCAAAACGCCATATGTTGGGGATTCATCTAATCTCAATTACTTGATCCAACAGTTTGGAAATCCCTTCGGGGGTACGACGGATGTTAGCCCACTCCAGGACCGCCTCCAAGGGGCAATGCTGGCCCGGTTGGGCAAGCCGACCCAGCAGGAGATCGAAAGGCTTCACGTATCTAGTATTGAGCGTCTTAATAACGAAGGCGCGTTTGATCTCCCGTCACAAGAGACCAGCCAGGCCCTTCTCGACGCTTACTTCCATTTTTCACTCGCTGCACTGCCTATTCTGGATAGGTCAAGATTTCTTGCCAGTCTTGAGGAAGGCAAATTTTCACACTTGCTCTTGAATGCTATTTACCTCGCTGCCACTATATATTGTTCGGATTCCGTCATTGCTGATGCCGGATTTGTGTCCCGATACGCTGCAAGCCTCACCTTTTACCAGAGAGCCAAATCTCTTTATGATGCTGGATATGAAACAGATGCCATCGTGACGATCCAGGCCACATTCCTTATGTGCTATTGGTGGAATGGTCTTCTAGAACACAAAGACCCTTGGTACTGGATTGGTATCTCTGTGGGAATAGCACAGGCTTTGGGACTGCATCAAACGTGAGTCTACTCATCCCTCCAACGTGGACTAACGTCGACTGATCGCTATTCTAGAAAGTCGTACATCCGCCTCGAGGAGAAAGATCGAAAATTATGGCGAAGATTGTGGTGGATGGTATATGTCGGTTATTGCCCAACAAAGCCCCAGGTCCTATTACTGGTCTGACTTTCTAAACCAGGCCATGAACATAAATTTGTCTATGCTTCTCGATCGTCCTCCGCACGTACAAGGAAGACTTTGCAATGTTCCCCCTCTGTCGGAAGCAGATTTTGAACAAGCCTGTGGGTCTCAAGAGCCGGACCTCAATGAAGCAAATACCTTCGCGATAAATGCTGTGCAACTAGCTCGGACAGGTTCAACATCCACCATTCTGTTTCTAAATTTACTTCATTGCTAACACATGTTACAGTGGATCGCTTCTTCACTATCAAATTTGACGAAGATAGTGGTCACTCCCAAGATATCTGCTTAGAGCAAATTTCCTTGTGCTCTTCCTCCCTTCCGCCGGAATTCAAGTCTTTGTCAACAAATAGTAGCAAGTGGGCTATATTAACTCATATATTATACCAGTAAGTTGACTTTCAAATGGGCTCTTCGGAGGCTCTCCATTCTGATTTAAATCTATAGGGAATACCGACTAATTCTGCATCGGAGCAACCCAAGGTTTTGTCTCAATATCGGGCCAGGCAGTCCAACATTCGAGATATGCACGGAGATCTCCCACATGCTCAAAATACTCATGGCGAAAGATCTTCTATATGAAGCCGCAGCTAGCATGTACGTCCCCTCGATAGTAACCTGCCCCCAATTATCCCGGACGGTTCTGGCTAAAGCCTTTCTAGAATTGCGCCCGTTCTGTCGGTGCTTGCAATCTATATCGTCAACATCCTCAGAGGGGATCCTGGTGTCCGGATGATTTCACAGCATCGCGCCCGCTTCTGCATGCTGATACTTGACAAGGTGCAAGATCGGTTCTCGGTAGTTGCAGCCTATTATCCAATTTATGATTCCCTGCTTAGGCGACACGCTGCAGGTGGGCAGACACAGGACGATGCACGGGTACCGGAGTGTCCAGGAACAGGATCCTCGATGCAGAACGGGCATCGTCAACTTGATAATGAAAGCAATCTTGGTGGTATGGACTCCACTGGGGACTTGTTTGATCAAGTCCCGCAAGATGGCATGGGCATGGCGTTTCCTTTCTCATTTCCGTTCGGAAACCTTTTCGAAGATGTCTTTCTGAATTCACCTTCTCAGCCTATACCTTATTGTGAAGATGATATGTCTTATCCTTAGTATTTGCTAAATACAATAGATCTTGATACTCTTTAAATTTCGGCACATACGGGTCACATATCTTGGCTACTATCTGTAAATGTACGTCTACGAACAAAAGCAAAGAAATCAAAAGGTAGGCAATAATCCAGTGCCATTCTCATATATTTGCAATCACATGTATGCGGTTTGTACATGATTTACAATCCCAAACGCCCCAGCCTAAACGCCACCAGTAGATACAAAAATAAGAGTCGCCATGAGCAGTGGAGAAGGTGGTCAACCCACCGACAAAAGAAATAAAGAGAACGGCTCAGTTCTTCTTCCCCAAACAAACCAAGACTTCTACAATTCACCATGCCCGCCATGCCGAGGCTCGCCCTCCGATCCCGGCGCAGCCATAAACCCGCCTGCGCGCACGCGCAGCACAAAGTTAACCAAGATGATTACGACGAGTCCGATGCTGACAACCGTCGGACCCCAGCGCTCGTAGTAGACGCGCTTGACGTCGCGACGCTTGCGGATCTTGTCGACGCGCCAGATGTACAGGAAGAGACTGTACACGAGGGCGCCGGCGGCGAGGATGGTGAAGGCCCAGGAGGAGACGAGGGTGGCGAATTCAGTGCCGAAGTTTAGAAGGGTTGCGGCGATTCCGCCGAGGATGATGGAGAATTCTAACCAGGAGAGGAAGGTTCGCTCGGCGGCGAAGTAGACTTTTGGTTCCACGCGGACGGGAACGAAGATGCCTAATTTTTTGAGAAGTGGGTTAGACCGTGATCGATGCATGGAATGGCCCGCGGGCATATGGGAGTGACTTACGTTTGCCAGGGGGAGCCTGGAATTGCTGTAGTGTGCGTCGGTGGTTACTCAAAACAGCGATGCCACGCTGTTCGGGGGGAGGCAGGGATGTTGGACGGGGGCGGGGGACTATTGCCATGAGACCTTGTGCGACAGCGTGACCAGTGCGGGAGAGGTAATGTTTGGCCAATTTCTGCGCGTAGTACGTTCCCCCTATGCGACGAGCTTCTTCAAGTTCGTCCGAATATACCGATTCGTCATCCGAGTCGTACAACGGGTAGTCTTCGTCGCCAGGCAGGGGCTGCGCGGCGACGCGTTCTTCGATATCCAGCTCGTTGCCATTGGTCTCAAACAAACCGTTTTGGTGCTCGGCGTGTCCGTCGAGGGGGCTTTCTTGCGTACCCGGGGTTTCGTCGTCATCCGAATCTTCATCATTGGCGGATATCGAGGTACTCGCCAGCGGTCTGTGGATACCGAATTGGCGAGTGGCGGGTTTGCGGATGTCTACACCCATCTGTGGGAACCAGAATGGAAGCAGGTCGATTCGAGTAGGGAACATGGTCGCTGTTCCGTGGATGAATTTACTGAATTTCGGGACCGCCTCAACCAAGTGACTGGCAGTCAAATCCCGAATCCACTGGGGAGGTTCCTGGCCTGCCTGGGTCTGCAGCTTCACCTCCAGCACGGCATAGGGGAACCGGTCGATATCCTCGGGAGGTAGCTGGGAGAATGGGAAGTCGACTCCAATGTCCATACGACGCCAGTTCTTCCCACACCGTTGACGGCCATCCATGTTATCCTCTCGGATCATGGTCAGCTCCGTGTCAAGAGAGATTCGAACACGCGCATCACCCGGCAGCTGGAATGCAGTGCGGTGGTAGAATGTTCGGGTGACAGGCACCAGTCGGCGAGTAATGACGCGGTATTGAATCTCGCGGGCTAATTGCTCCAAATCATCAATCTCCGCCGGGCTCCTTTTACCCTCCTTGCGCATCTTGTCGAAGATCTGCTCAACCGTCATTCGGCCCTCGAGGTAGGCATTGACGTGCTTCTCCTTGAGCACAAAACGCGCCTTGACGGACTTTTCTCCCGTCCAGTCCTCGCGGTGGGTTTTGCGCTCCACGAAAATCTGGTCACTTTCCATCCCACCGTACCAACGCAGTCGAATTGCCTCGGCGCCTTCTGTTTTCTTCAGACGACCCTGATACAGTTCCCAGGTGTCCGTGTTGTCATAGTAGATAGAGGAGATGGCCGTGTCCTTCTCCTCGAACTCCTTGCTGGCATTGAAGACCAAAACTGGGAGGTGCTTCAAGATCACCAGCTTCAACTCCGTAATATTATCCCGGTGCACCCAATACTTTGTGGTCTGACGCACAAAGTTTTGTTGAGTGCCACCGGCAGATGAATCACCTTTGACCGGGTGACCCTTGGTCCGGACTAGGTCATACAGCTTGGATAGTTTAACCACGAAAGCGTCATAGTTATCCTTGAAGAAAGGCTTGGCCTTCAGACGTGTCGCGAAAACCGGCTTGAGGTACCATTGAGTTTCTTTCTGTGTGATTGTTAGCGAATTGGGCCCGACTCGAAAATTCGGAAGGGAAACATACGTCATGCTTCTTGAGGATCTTCTGGAAACCCGTGTAGTTCAATTGAGTGAATTTGGCCAAGTCGTGAACATCGGCAATAATATCACTGAGCACCTGCTCAAGCATCAAGAAGTCCGCATCGGTTGGCGGGGGACGAGAAGCTCGAGCACTCTGGCGATGGGAATCGGTCGAGTTGTCCAAACGTGAGACGACATCCTCCACCTCGAGCTCGCTTTCTTGAATGCGGGCAACAATCTCCTCACTCTTGCGCTTCTGGAATAGGAAGACCTTCTCTAGCTCACTCTCGAGCAAGGAGACAAAGTGCGTCTCATCGTCCTCGGTCCATTCTTTGCGGGCGGGCTTGGTGTTATCGGAGGTTGGCTCGTCGACGAAATCGGTCTTCAGAGCTTTCTTGAGTTCGTCGTAGGCAATGTAGTAGGGATAGAATTCCTTGATCATGGAAGAACGGAGATATTCACCGAACCTGTGAAACAATTGAGTCAGTACGCTAATGGCGCGGGGAATGAAATGGCTGGTAGATAATGAGATAGGGAGTTACATACCTCATTGTGGGCAGGGAGAGATGTTAGGAAGTCAGGTTTATCCCAAGCTCATAGGAAAGAGAAAGAGAAAGAAAAATATCCCGGCGAGGGAGGCAGGGATGCCAAATTCGGAGGGTTCTTAGCTCTCCGGGGACAGGAAGGCCAGAGAGGTTATCCCCGAACTCGGCTAGACCGATGACTAGCGGGTGACGGGCCCCATCGTCTCATCAAAGTGCGATGCGAATACACGAGGTGATACAATATGCTCTACATTGTCCAATTGGGGGGTTTTTTGACTTTCTAGATAGCTGAGAAACGGCATTAAAATATCTTATTTAGCTATAGTGGGTTCAGATCTTCATCGGATTGCTGTGAATTGGTCATTATCAGGAAAAGAATCGTGGCGATCTCGATGTACTTTGGTAATTTTGGTATGGTAATTTTGTATCCACCATACATACACCCCTTGGTGACGTTCACAATTCGACCAGTCGCGGGCGCACGTGGGTTAGCTGTTTTTGTCCTCTCTCTGTCCTTTCTCTGTTTACCTTCTTCACTCATTATTATGACTCGGATTATTTTATTCCAAAGTTCTATTCTACGACTACATGAGAATTTCAAGAATCAGCTATCTCACATTCCAATCTTAAAAATGCTCCCTTCCAATTTCTTTTTCAATGCTTGTTCTAGGGCACGGATATCACCATCTGCAAGATGATCGAGCCCCACCCCGGGGCTTTCTACTTGTTGGGTCTAGCTAGATGCATGTCCTCTTTCACTTTCTCGCGTATGTCTTAGTTTCTAACAAGGTAGATTCGGAGAATTCATGAGATTGGAAAATAATATCATCAATCTACTCCGTACAATATACAGTTCTCGGGCCGAATCCCCATAGCATTATCCATAAACACGAACGCCAGAACACCCTCAGTCAGAGATGACATGCACCCTAATCTATCATCACATCATGGTATCATCGCAGCCATCTAAGGCATGCTCATAGCCGCTCGGCGGATACTGCGACGAGGACCCTCACCGAAGACATTAACTGAGCCCTCCGTCTCCAGCGAGCGCACCACATCACCAAACTGGTTGTGGTCGAGTTTGTTGTCGCTCTGCTCGGTCACATCGCGATACAGGTCAGTCCAGCGGACTGCACCACCACTCACACCACCACGTTCGTCAAGGCGGGACAGCACCGCCTTCTTCAGGTCGTCGCGTAGACGACGGTCAGCGGCGCTGCTGCCTTCGGTCAGAAGGCCCATGTCGATGAGACCGGTTCGGGAATCGGTGGCGGCCTGCTTAATGGCGGAGCGGATGAGACGCACCGCTTCCTCAACATCACCGGCGGTGACCTCGGGAGACAGGCGCATGCGTGCATGTGCCTCGGAAAGTCGGATCATAGATTCCAGCTGTCGAGTGGTGGCAGTGATACGGCGCTCTTGGGCGCGGATGTCATCTCCGAGCTGGCGCATAGCCACGTAGGCATCGGTTAGTGCAGCACCGGCAGCTGGAGTGATCACAGGGTGACAGTTGGTCTTGGCGTATGTAATGTAAGCCGTAAGGAATTCGATAGGCTAGATAGAACTGTTAGAAATCTGCTTAATTGACCGCGCGGGAAAGGTCACTTACCAGAATCTCCTGTGAGCTGGCATTATCAGGGTTATCCTCCAGATACATGCCGACCAAGTGCTTAGCCAGGCGACGATCCTCTGTCTCGTCGACACGGTCAAGGACCAGGTATACCAGGTCAAAACGAGAGAGCAGAGTGGGTGGCAGATCAATGTTCTGCGGAACAGCGAGTTTGGGGTCGTACCGACTGCCGATGGGGTTGGCAGAGGCCAGGATGGATGTACGGGCGTTCAGGGTAGTAATGATACCGGCCTTAGCGATAGAGACGGTCTGCTGTTCCATGACTTCGTGAAGGACGGAGCGCGTGGAATCGTTCATCTTGTCGAACTCATCAATACAGCAAACACCACCATCGGACAGAACCAAGGCACCCGATTCTAGAACCATTTGGCGTGTCTCCGGGTCACGGGTCACGTAGGCAGTCAAACCAACAGCCGACGAACCTTTACCACTGGTGTAGACA